AAAAACTGTATCGGATGACAGACAGTCCGAATAACAGAGAGTACGACTAATAGAGAATTTAGATAATACATCTAATGGGAATTTGGATAAACGAAGTCCTACTGTAATTCGAGTTTTCATTATACCAAAAAGTATATTGAAAACTTAACTCGTCGATGAATTTCCGAAATCAAAAATTGTTGAACCTATGGATAAAGTTAGAAATATACAAACTATTTTTAAATAAAATAATACATTGTTCTTTCCGACAGCCACTCAAAAAACAGAAACGGTGCATGTTTAACAGTCTCTGGTAAACCAGAACTTTCAGCGTCGAAAGAAACAATGGTGCAGTATTGATTTAACAAATTTTTATTTTTCAATATCCATGAGGTTTTTGAGGTCTGCGTACTTCAATATCGATGCTTGAATATCAACAGATGATTTTGAAAATACGAAAGGACCAATTCTGTTTGTATTTTTTAATTTCCATGAGGTTTTTGCGTCTGCGTGCATTGATGTCAATTCTTAGACGTGAACAGTGCGCGTGTAGCAAATACGAAAATGGAAATTCTGTTTTCAACGCGACCCGAATACGACACTTTAGTTTCAAAGAACCTCACGATGAAAGCCTGTCTTTTTCCCTTCTCGTGTCCCTTGAAAAGAAGGGTTACATTTCTTAAGGACGGCTGTATTTAGAATAGTAAGAGAAGTAGCGTATTAGCATAATCGATAACGCGGCGCAAAAGACAAGAATTGACGAGATAGAAAATGGTTGTTCGTCGATGGATAAAACGGTTAATTTATCGTATAACGCTTCGTTAACTTTGTTTCGTATTACTAACATAACTAAATACTTATTTGGTATACATTGTTCTCGCCTAGTGATACGTATTAACGTTTCTCCTCATCGTTACAAAGTTTCTATCAATTATCAATATCTAGCACACATTATCGTTCACGATTCGCTCGTGTCTCAGCGCGATGCTTTCAACGCGCGTCTCGTTTCTCTTATACAACAGATTACACATAATTCATCGTTATTTAGATCATCGATATCGTTTTCAGTTCTCGTCCATTGACAATATATTGTCGAGAAATACCTTATTTGCCGCGTATATAATCGAGCCGAATCGTTTTTTATATACTCACACTCGAGACGATAATTTTCATTTCGATACAACCGAGTTGATCGAAACCGTTAATCGTTATTGTTACGCGTATTATTAATTCTAAGAAAGATACAGCGAGTCGCAAACTTATTGCTGTACGCGTAGGGAGTAGTAGGGGTACGGTGGAGGAAAGAGGCAGGACAAAATTTGTCTGCGATTTTTATTTAAGAAATATAATATTTAGATTTTCCACTTGTAAAAGTGGGGAAACGAAATAAAAGTGACATCGTTTATTACTATTAGAAGGAAAACAAACGAAACAATTCTGGGTAATATTTAGAGCAATATTTATTATAGAATTATTGGCACATGTTATAAAAGTTAATAATTTTACCAGTGTTAATATCTGGTAGGGTAACCTATTGGTTTGATCATTTGGCCTTAATTCATTTTTTAAATAATTTTCTGTAATATTATGACATTCCTTCGTCATTCCTTAACAAAATTTAACAGTTTATTTATTCCAAAATCAGGTTTATTTTGTATTCTATCATTTGCCAATCTTGTAATAATATTTCAAACAGTTCAGTAACGTTTATTTGTAATATTGACACATATTTTATAATGCTCTCAATTTTCTAATAGAAAGTTACTAAATTTCCTGTATCTGAACTAGGTTTTTTTTTTGCTAATAGCATGATATTACAGTTTCTTTTTCTTCTCGACTCTTTTTGTTCGCTATTGTAAGATGTTAACTGATCGTTACAACAGCTTATACATAAATAATACATAGTATTCTTTCGTTTCTTTCTATCATATTAATAAATGGTAATATTCTGACATTTTGTTCATCATTTTACGAGCTCTTGATCTAAACATTACGTTTCTTAACTAAAAAAAGATAGAAAAATGTTAAATTATTTCTCTTGTCTCTCGCATCCCCGTTACTTCCTGTGTGCGTACCAATAATCTCGACTCATTATAAATCGTCCTCGACGCAACGCAAAAATGCTTTTACTCGTTTAGGTCATTTGTCCTCGAAGAAATTCCGTTTGTCCATCGTTTCGATAGTCACTCGATCGTATCCGGTATCGAACATTTTCCCCGTTGATTAACTCTTTAACGGAGGCTGTAGTTGGGTTTCGTTCGATAGGTTATTGGCTTTCTAAAAGGCAAGTTCTCCGAAAAACTACGACTTATACGGTTATTTGTCGAAATCTACTTGTCAGTGATTACATACTCATTTAGCTGTGACTACGATCTGAGAAAGGGGACGAGAAGTGGTGTACACAGATTTCTCGAATGAATTAGGGTTGCAGTGAAGCTCTATCTCTCGGTTCTACGTAGATGATATCGATCAACAAAGAATGCAAAATAATTTCGTGAATTTATGTTAACGGTCGATATTTATATATATTTAAAATATAAAAATGTTATCAGACCGATGATTACATATTCACAAGAAAATTGTTTCGATTGTATACAAAAAATAGTTCTGACAGCTTTGTTGCATAGTTATTTATGCTCGTACGCACCCAGACATTCCGTGTTTAAATCACGTAAAACGTGAAACCAAAAGCACCGGTTTATTTCCAAAACTTGCAGCATTCATTCATAGTCCTGAGAAACTAAATCGTGTGAAGTTTTCATTCTCATCTCAAATATTTTCTCTCCACATCGAAACAGTGTGATTTATGTTTTGAATTATTTTAAAGTTGGGTCGGTGTTTTTAAACTTTTGTAACTTGAATGTAATGTTTGAAGTAATTAATAGAATGCAAGTAGAATGCAGATTTCACAGTTGTTATCGTCATTATAGTCAATATATTCGCCATAGTTATCATAATTATCATAATTACAGTCGTTAGTATCATAGTCATAGCCAATATAATTGTCACAATCGACATAGTGAACATAGTCGCTGTTACAATCACAATAACAGTCACAGTTGTTATAATCGTTACAGTTATCACCACTGTAACTGTCACTGTTGTAATTCGTTCTTTCTTTTAATTATCTTTTTAGTGAAATCCCTTACACGTTCCAAGCTTTAATTTATCAAAAGGCACTATAACATTAAATAAATTCTCATTAATAAAACCTGAACAATAATATTGACACATCCGAGTTCAACAAAAAGTAATTAGTAGTATAACTATATCACTTCTTTAACAAATTCCAAGAGTACATCACCTTAAGGAAACATTATCTTTCCTTTGCGTATGTGTTTAGTAACGTGGACTATGAATTAGTGCTGCAAAGAGGATCGATGACTATCGATGACTATCAACTCCGACCCGCTTCGCTCAATTTTAAATGAATTCTTCTAATCGAAGTCATTCGTAGACATTTATTTCCATACTTATCCAATATTATTATCGAAGTTTATAAATGAGCGTTTCAAGTAATAGAATTTATCAGTTGCGACAATATCCCCTCGTTCATCCATCTTTAAAGCGACACTAGAACAATCTAATTTCATAATCGATGCTTTTACTTTCAACTTGAGACAGTTCGTATCTTACAAACAACCGACGGTAACAATCGCTATTGTTACCATCGTCTAACGATCGCTGATTAACAACAAATATTTCATTTACAATGTTTCACGCGTGTCCGTTTAACAGTGGCTCGAGATCAAACGAATAATTCTTTGGGAAGAAGCATCAAATAATTTGTTCTCTTACTAAGTGTTTTGTTATATTAATTTTCTTTCAACGTGGAAGACTATACCGGTCTTATATGTATAAGCGGGTCGTTATACTCGGAAAGTTTATAATAAAATACTGACTAGAAGAGCCTATTAATTTCTTTGGAAACATCAACGAAACGTTGGCACAGCCCGATCAAGTAAGAGTGAGGTCTTTGAGCGAGTAATACGCTTCTTGGGGGTGGTTTGAGCAGAAATTTGCAGTAAACTTTGTTTCGATTTACGAATAAAGGAGGGGCATGTAGCTGTGAGCCAATGGACGCCTCTCAGGGGCGTGACAGATAGGCGTAACCGCAGTGGTGGGGGGCGAGATTCCGCGCTAACCACGCCCGTATCACCTCGACGCATGCGCGTTTGCCTCTTCACTCTCGCTTGAGCAGCCTATACGTTATCCACCTCGTAAATTATAGCTTGAAACGAACGAATTTCAAGTACTATACAAATGCTACTTTCTTCTAAAATTGTCTTCTCTAACATTTTAAACATTTCAATCGGGTCATTCCTGTAACAAACTTTCATATTCTTACGAGATAAAAACGGAACTATTTAATTGCAAAAATATTTATATTTCGATCTCTTCTTTCAACAGGGATACGCAACGAATTAGACGCGTATCTTTCAAGTACTTCTCTTTGACCGATACTCGAAATTCGATTTCTCGAAGCTAGTCGGATGACGTTCTTATTTCCAGTAAAACTTCTCGCGCACTGAGAAAACGTACAATACAATTTCGTGCCGCGTTATTGTATCAAATCTCGCGCGATCGACTTCTCGTGCCAACATTGATAACTTCTTTTTCTCCATTGTATTATGGCTCACTGAACATCTCTCGAAAATGTCCTTTAGGCTACGGAACTTTCAATGAAAAAGTGATCTCGGATGTTGCTTCGAAACAGTAGGGACAACGTTACAGCATCGATTCTACTTTATCGCGGATCTACAAATTTTTAATTAGAAGTTCGTATTATTAGCGTAGTCGACAAGATGGCCGCGCACCATGATGGCGTTCAATAAACTAAAATTAAATATTTTCGTGGTTGCGTCTAAAATTTCTCGAATACAATCGTGAATAGAATCTTATTAAAAATCCGTCCCTTGCAGATTACGACGGTCATTCGTGACACTTTGAAACGAAATCTTCGTCGCGATTCTATCTGCTACTTTTTCTCTTGATAATACTTCAGCTGCTCCTATCTTCCCGCCAAACTTCTCTCGAATGCGCACCGAAATAAGCTATTTTTTTTCTGCTGTGAAACATCTTCCTTAGGGAGGTACCGTTGAGTTTTCAACGGTAAAATCTCTGTTGAGAGAATTCAGCAGCTCTTCGTTTTCCTTGCGCACTGAAACAGTAAAGACTTTGTTAATAGCGGTTCGAGAAGTAGGATAGTTTAAGTATTTATTAGGTTGGCCAAAAGGTTCGTTCGGTTTGCAAACTTTAGTTTGATTATCTATTGTTTAATCTCTTCAGGGATGACCATTAAATGAATTTCTTTTTTCTTCAAACTTTAAATCCAAACACCAAAACATTATTTATGTTTATTTACATTTATTTATATTTATATATTTTTTATTTTTAAGACGATCGTAAATAACAGTAATTTTACTATAAAAACAAACCTACACATGTGTCTCAATATCCCTTGAGTAGTTATACAGGGTGTCCCAAAAGTCGGGGAGGAGCCGGCAACGGGGGGTAGCTAAGACGATTCTGAACAACAATTTCCTTTGCAAAAATGTCCGATGGGGCTTCGTTAAGGAGATATTAAGCGAAAACCCTGACCAATCAGAGCGCGTGTATACCGCTGGAGCGGCCGTGGTAGCGAAGGTTACGCGCTAGGCGGTAGCGTCAACGTCCTTCGATGCACGTCGAGTCACTTGTTCGCATACAAGCGCGGCCGCCAGCGCGTAGCCTTCGCTACCGCGGCCGCTCCAACGGTCTACGCGCGCTCTGATTGGTCGGTGTTTTCTCTTAATATCTCCTTAACGAAGCCCCATCCGACATTTTTGCAAAGGAAATTGTTGTTCAGAATCGTCTCAGCTACCCCCCATTTCCGGCTCCTCCCCGACTTTTGGGACACCCTGTATAGTCATTTGATAGTGAATACTTGACTTTATTTTTGAACAAAAATTTTTAAGATTGATATTTCAATTTTCTTTTCTTTTGCTGTTTACAAAATTCCCCGTGACTGGAAAGAGCTTCGATTCTGAAATAGTTTTTGAACATCATTTATTTAGATCAATCTTTTTGTGTTCAAAGATGAGAAATTTTATAAGCGTGGAATTATGAATTTGCCCAAAAAATGGAGAAAGATCATAGAACAAAATGGAGAGTATCTTCTTGAGTAATCGAATTTCTAAGAAAAATCGTTTTTCATTTACGCATTAAAATTCAAACGAACTTTTTGGCCAGCTTAGCTTATTCATAGTGTATGCAGAATGACTTGGAGTAAGACCTGATACTCGTTAATTTTAGTAACGTTTATCATTCGTTTCGATAATCGCCAAAAACAATAGTAATCGATTAGGACGATAACTAGACTGCGGATTTTATGCATTTATGGTGTACGATAATATAGACAACATACATAAAGTATACATAATACATGTTGAATATATTCTACAATTAATACAATAATGTTATTCTCAAAATTAATTCCTCGTGTCAATACGAAGGAAAAATTCCTTTTCCATTTTGCAATCCTGGGTTTCGTTATCGAGGTATAAACAGTTAACGCTTGCAAGATTACGAATGTCATAGTCACGTGCTTCTCGAGCTTAAGTGCGCGCATGCGCGATCAGGTGACCGAGATACAAAATGACGAGCGCCAAGAGTCATGCCAGTCGACTTTAATTGCTTATATTTAGTTAACGAAGCTTTAGATCGTAAAATTGTAAAGGACTTTCCAGTTTTATTTTTCATATGAAGAATGGACTCTGAAAAATACGTTTACATTTTTTTTTAATATTACGCATATCATTATAAAAGACACCCTTTAGCTCATTGGACAGTGGAAACTCATTTAAGCAGTCAATAAAAGTGTTGTTACAAGCACATCATTTCTGAAAAGAATATGGAGACTAAGTTTCCTATTCTGTTACGTATTCAGTCAGTATATTGGAAGAACACTTAAAAGACTGTAAAAGTTCATACAGTGTTTCCTCTGTGAATTGATCCAGTCAATTGGCCAAAGTTCATGTCAAAATAAAAAAAAAAACTCAAACTCTGCTATTACATCCATTACAAATTAAGTTCAACTTAATTGTACGAAGTACATATATCGAAGAAGTTATACCGAAAGTTGTTTAGCTGTACATGTTTAGATTAGCGTTTCCAAGAAAAATACTATAGTTAAAATTTTTAAAAAAAGCAGAAGCTCAAGGTTGTTTATTATCATCAATTTTAAATATTGTTGTAAGGAGAGACTGTGAAACTAGACTGCGGATGTTTATGCATTTATGGCAAGTGAAAATGTGGGAAAATGAGCGAGGACGTGTATAAATGCAAAAATATATAAAGTATCAACAATAAAATGCATATTTTACTGTTTAGAAGATGAAACATACTCATTCAACTATCAATTCTATATCTGAATCTGTAAAAATATGAATTTGCATAAACATCCGCAGTCTATTAACGACTCATTACTCAAGCTGTGAGTCTCGAAGAGTTTATTTTATTTTCTAGTGTCTTATTTTGTCTTTATTTATAGTGTGAGTGTCCTCTTTGTTAGTGTGCGTCGTTTCTCAGGAATTTCTTGGAATATTTAATCGAAAGTATTTGAAAATAATCATTTACGTGGGATTCGGTGCTCGGCAAGTTCCTTGAAGCCTACGCTAGGCTTCGAAAAAGTGCTGCTCTGTGTTAAAGTGACCACCACGACAAGAATCGATGCAGCTAGAAGGAAAAGAAACGTTCCCAGGATGATCATAGTGATTTTTCGATGCCGTCTCGCTTCCTCTAAATCCTCTGCGTTTTCCGTAACCTTCTCCGCTTCCTTTGCTACGATTTTTATCGGTTGAACGGAATCCTTTCTGCGAGCCGTGCTCGCTTTTCGTGGCTTTGTTGTCTTGTTTATGCTATTTCTTCTACCATTGCCTGAAGATCATTTCTCTGGTTATATTGAGAGAACGAGGTAACTCGATCATCTCAACTACAATTTCTGATACTATCGAATTTGTTTCAATTATTACTTATTTAGTACTTCAATTCGGAGAGGCCTACACGCTGATTAAATTATAGCTTACTTTTTCTAAGTCAATTCTATTTGAGACGAATTTCATTTTGTTGAATTAACGTCCAGGTTTATAATGAATTTTTTAAAAGGGTCTTTGAGATGGTAGTTTTCAATAGTAAAAGTGATGGATGCAATGTTATTTTCCACAATTAATCGTAACGTGTACCTTTATTCAATTTCATAAAATCGACTATACTTTGTATCATGTTTATTCAAAAACAAAATTCTAAAGTCCCTTTTAAAAAATCATTTACAGCAGAATTTCAAAAAGTAATTGATTATGACCTAAACAATAATAATAATAATAATAAGATATAGCTATTAGGGTATGTTCTATTGCAAAGAACTCCTTGTTGTAGTTAAAAAAAAAAACAGCCCTGAAAATTTCAAAAAGAATTTACTTACAAAAAATACTATATAATCAGCTTGTAGAGCTCTATAAACCAAAAGACGAAAAGAATTATACAAATTGGTCCAGTAACAATACAAACAATCAAAGAGATTGAGTTAATGTTGTTCATATAGCATACAGGGAATGAAAAATCAACTCGTTCAGTTTCAAAGACAGAATAATAGAATAGGAAAAAGTGATTCGAACAAATTTTACTTGGTTCAAAAAAAAAGAAAAAAAAAACAACCAGTATAAAACAATTAGTATAAAATAAATTTTTGATCATATATATATATATGTGTGTGTGTGTACCAAAATTATACGAAAAAATACACCATACATTCGAAAACAAGTTGAAACGGATGAAATTAAAAGTGAATACGTTTATCTTCTATCATTTCTTTTAAATTTCAAAATTAATATTTGCTTTGTTTCCACGCGAAAATACAATCAATACTTGGAGCGGAATCGTTAGATCCACGCGAAATGCGTGCGATAATGAACTTGCGTTCGTTTCTGATCGATTGAAAAGTCTGATGACCCAATTGTTTCCTACCTAACGACGTTGGCCTGCTGCAGCTGTTTATTCGCGAGCGATTGGATTGTACGCTGGAACGACGACTGGATCGCTGATCGAGTTCCGAACTGTTTCTGTTCTGTTTTTGGCCGGTGGCTTTCGAACGAGTGAAAACATTGTATTGAGGCTCGTCATCGAGGTTGGCCAACTGGCGGGGTAATGCGTCGTTTAGCTGTAACTCGTTTGGATCTGGATAGGGAAGGTAGCGTGACGAGCGATTTTCAGATGGGCATATATCGTTATCGCGCGATCGCTGACAGATGTCCGTGGGATTGTGGGTAGTTTCAAACGATGTATTGTCCGTATAAAAGATTACACGCTCGGATGACGAACGAGATAATCGACGATTTTCATTGCTTCTTTGAGTGGACATCGTTGGCTAGTATGGCATCCTGGAGAATTGGTTTCTTGATCACTGCTTTATCGATAGTGGCTCGTAAGTAACGTCACAGTTTATATTCACTGTCGATTGTCCGTTTGGATTGAGGTCGCTGAGGTAGGTCGCTTCGTTGGCAATGTAGAACACTCTGTTAATACATTCTTCGATCAATTAGAGTTCTACATTACCCAGTTGTACCGATAGAATGCACCACGTTATCTACTACGGTACTCTACTTGGTAATTATAGAGAACAGGTACATCCTCATCGATTTCGATGATTTTTCAATATGTTGTAGAAATCAACATTTTGAACAACTTTTTCTTATACATATAACCGTCGCTCGGCCTTAGTTTCCGAGATATTTGCAAAATACCATTGCTGCACAACAATGAATATTGCGTATAACTACGCGTCTGTGACAGCGTGTGTGTAAGCGTTCAGTCGTCGATTGTTTAGGCTCGGAATACACATACGCGACTGTGAGTCTGTATGCGTTAGCTATCATTCGCTGGTCGGCTCGTGTTTCAATCTGTTCCGAATTCATTTATACATATAAAGTAGCGCATGATCTGTATTCGTACAGTAAAAAAATGGGGTTCCGGGGGCTCGCTCCCGGTCGGGGGTTTGGTGACGAAGCCCCCAAGAACGAGTACTGCAGCGCACCACTCAGGTGTGTACACGGTTAGCCTGAGGGGTGTTTATGCTTTTCATATATGCTTTTCAATTTTTGTGAAAGGATTTTGCGCGAAAATTATACGCATCGAAATTACGGGAACTCACAGACGCGTACGTGTATTCCGAGCCTAAACAATCGACGACTGAACGCTTACACACACGCTGCCACAGACGCGTAGCTATACGCAATATTCATTGTAGTAGTAGCAATGATATTTTGCAAATATCTCGGAAACCAAGGCCGAGCGACGGTTATATGTATAGGAAAAAGTTATTCACAATGTTGATTTCTACAACATATTGAAAAATCATCGAAATCGGAGAGGATGTACCTGTTCTCTATAATTACCCTCTACTTTACCGACAGTATTTTATTTTATCTACTGGATAACCTCTCCAGTGATAGAAGAGGCAAAACCCTAGGCTTCGAATAAATTTGAAGTTTGCCGATGCGTTTGTCTCGTTTCCTTCTTTGGAAAATGTTTAAAAGAGGAAACGAGACAAACATATCAGCAAACTTCAGATTTATTCGAAGCCTAGGGTTTTGCCCATCTCTGAACCTCTCCCCTTCTGTCATTTTCACATCTCTAAGTTACGCGGAGTTTACGATAAAATCATAGTGTCGCACTAAAAACATCTCAATTTTAGTAGGAAAGGCTTCCTGGTTGTGAGTCCGACTTTTTGTTAAATTTTCACATAGTGATAGAGCATGAAATAACCAATGGTTATGATACGATGGGAATATTGTTAACAGTTTACAGAATATTTAATATTGAAGTATTTCTTTATAATAATAGTTCTTTAATAATGATTATTTGATATTAATAGTAATGATTAAAAATACAGTTTCGAAAGAAACTATCATTGCTATTAAAATATCAACTTATTATTTTTATTTCTATTAAAATTATGTAAATTTTATCTATTATTTAGATTATTAGACTTTAATAAAATTAATGGAATTAATTTTGTTATTGCACGTTGTTTTACGATGGCTATTTCGTGTTACCTCGTAATTGTTGAATTTATTTATCGAGATAGAATAATGTTTTTCGTAGGCTCATGTTTTAAAGGTTTCGATTAAAAAGTAAACAAATAAAAGGTGAATTTGGCGTGCCATCGATACTTCATACATTTTTCATACATTTAGAATAAAAAAAAAAAAAGGTGAAGTGATATGGCGTAAAATCGCCCTCGAAGTCAAACACCTTTTGTCTGAATGATTTTCCATTTTCCATAGAAATAAAAGAGTTGTCCAAATAGCCAGTTGTAAACGTTTCAAAGAGAGAAAAGCGATGGATATTCTTAAGGTTGGCTTGCACAAAGTGACTCGTCTCTGTACGGCACAATGCAGCATCACTCTTTTCAGCAGGCTTTTGCCAAAAGTGTTTTCACATCTTGGAATACAAGTAACGTATTTCGAACGATGAGTAACTGAGATTATAAGGAAAAAAACACCGATGTTTTGGAAAACGTGCATCGTCTGGAGAAAATTAAAACAAAAACAATGATATAAGAATTGAGTTTCCTCGATAACAATCTAAAATATAATAATTTTTTCCAAAACATGGATGCGACTTGCAATTCAAAAATTTAATTTGCCTAGAGACTTTCGTTAAATAATCTTTTACATTTAACAAGTGCAAAACTCCATCAATCGAAAACAATGACAATTGATATTGAAATAAATAAATTGTGCATAGTAAATATTCTTCATCTATGAGGATTATAAAAATAGAATTAGAGTTGTGTATTATTGAGTTTTGAATAAAAGTTGACAAAATAGTATACACATTTGTGTTGCAGTTATGAATTCCATTTGCATAAATCGCTTAGAAAGTAATTGTAGTTACCGTTATTAATTACTCATGACCTAGTCTGACGCACTGCAGAGTTTTGATATACTATATTAACAAGCTATGTATCTATAAAGTTGAGAGCTCGCATAGTTTAGTTTCAAGTGTTTCCTGTTACATTTAATCTAGCGTTTGCAAATTAATAACAATTCTTTTAAATGGTAATTTACTTCCCAAAGGTTTTTTCGCAAACAAATTACTTATATCTAAATTTTTTTTTTAATTAATTTTCCTGTGCTTCAGATCATTAAAATTACGTAAACATGTTACTTTCAGCTTACTAATGATCCCACGAAAACTTTCAAGCAAGTATTTTTCGATAATGGACAAATTGGTCGAGATATATTTGTTATCGTTAAACGTTTTATATCATTTCTAATCATTGATAACGCTTAAGCGTTATTTTTTTCTATATACAAACTATGTCTCAATTTGCATTTTATGTTTAATGTTGCATTTTATGATGAATATACTACGCAACAAAATAATATATCAGAATTTTGCCATTTTTCAAATGTGTATAACTCCATCAATTTTCATTGTATCGATACAATTTTTTGTTTATTTCGTAGGAAATTATTTCTAATCTTAATAATAACTTTTGAACACTTTTTCTTCTTTAAAAGTTGATTGTTTGATGGTGCTGCTTGAATCGTACTGGTTTTTTCGGAAATGATACACAAAATCATCGCAAAATGCACATTTTAACAAGGAATTTGCAGAAGAGAAGCGAGTCTATACAATTTTTGTTGACCGAGTTATCCTATTTTCAAATTATTCGTGCGTTTAATAATAACAAATTAATTTAATAAATCCTTTACCTTTAATAATCTATCTTTATAATATAAAACAACCAAACTTATTGTTAGTCAGTATGATTCATATATTATAGAACGTAATACAGATCTTTATAAGAAGTGAGAAAGTTATTAATGTTTTTGGATGCTACAAATTTTAGCCCCTCCAGAAAATGTTAAATCGGGAAAGCTTTAAACCACTCCTTCAAAAGATGACAGTCCCAACCCAAATACTGCAATCGGAGTTTTGATAGTTTACTATAAAGCATACGTAACTCTATCTGGTGTTTCGATAACTAGAAGCTTGTGGCAAAGAGGAAAGGGATGCGTTTGGCGTGCAGTGTGCCCATTAAATAGAGGCCATAGACGTAACGATTTATTGTACGACTAGTTGTACATCGAGTTGGAACGATAATGTCGTAGCAGCGCTGTAATGCCATCCAACACGTCCGCCTCGAACGATATATTGTGCAATAATCCGTACACTTTACAATTATCGTTCAATTAATTGTATCAACGATGATTGTGCAAATTAGAGCTCGTTCGTGTTAACGACTTTCCACGGCGATCCAACTGTCGAACAGTCTTGGACAAACTGTCATTAATTGACTACTGATGATTCGCGATTCATCATCAGTTGTTAATTGCGAAAATTAATTGCTTGTAACAATTGGCAATTAAATTTTATTATTATGAGAATTAATTATTTTAGCAAGGTACGATTGATCAACTGTCAATTAAGGCTACAATTGTAGATTCGATAAAAACATGTTAAAATCTATCCTCTATTTTAATACAAGAACATCGTTAATATAATAATTATTATTAACATTATTCCCAAAAGTCCAAACTTTCATTTCACGTATAACAAAAATTTTCTTCAGGATTATACAGGATTCGCTATAATTTATATACAAAGGTTATTTATTATTAGACTGTGGATCATTATACAAAATAAAATCTTCGCGTACGTGCCCACAAAAATGAAAGCTAAATAAGAATTTATTTTATTCTGTAAATATTATAACATGAACTTTACTTTCAATTTTTTTTTATATTCTTGCATATTCTTTGCATTCTGTAGGGTCTTGCAAATTCAAATTTCCTATAAATGCATAAAGATCCGCAGTCTATTTATTATATAGAACATCTACAATTAAGAAAAATACGATACGATCATAAATTTTTAAAAACGTACGCGTACAAATGTTTAAAATTAGATCATTTGATTGCACTGTTGCGTTTTTAAAAATATACAGAAAAGACCTTCGTAGCCACCCCTAAATCCACTATTTAAGTCGACTTAAAAGCGCCTCAACATCAACTCAAACAAAACAAAGTCCAACTGGAGAACCTCTAATAAAAACCACGACGTTTCTACACGTTCCATCGATACGAGGCTAAACGTCCATGACGTCATTAGACGTTCTGTCGTATTATACGAATTGAGCGTCTATAGGTGTTTCGACCGCATATGTGGTAACTTGGCCGAACTACATACTAAACTTAGTGCAAGGATACAACAAATTTTTTCCTGTCATCGAGATCTACAATTCAAGTAAAAGAACAAAGACGATACGTCGACATTGTAATTTTATTCTTTGCCACCAATTTTCACAGAAATAGAGCATTCACGGCTAATACTCAAGTTGTACAACTTGTTTGCACTCATATATTCTCTAGACGGAAGCTTGTAATTGCATTTCTAAGCATTAATTTCACGTTTATTTAATGTTTCACACATGTTCGTTATTTCACTACAGGAAATAATTCTGGAACTACTCGATGTGTATTTAGAATAATTAAATAATAAAACA